TTTTTTTTTTTTTTTTTTTTTTTTTATTAAATTTATATTTAAGCCTACCTTAAAGTGTGCAAGCATTTTATATATCTTTTTTGTAAAGAAAAGAATTTTTATCAGATTTTCATTATATTTTTTGTCACTGAAAAAAAAGTTTTTACATTTCAGATTAATTCTATTATGGATAACAAAAAAAAAAAAAAAAAAAAAATATAAAAGCATATAAGCAAAAGAATATTGTCATAGAAATATTTAAATGTTATTTTTATATTTTTAACTGAAAAAAATATTATATATAATTTCATAAAATATTTCTATATATTTATTTTAAATAGTAAACAAATATAATATTGGATTCTTTAAAAAGAAAAATGCGACGTACCATATAGAATTACTGAAAGAACTAGTTGATTCAAGTTTCATAATCTTAAAAAAAAAATTATTTTCATGCATATATGTATATTATTTCCTCTATGTGTTTTATTAATATGTTATACGTGCTACTATATATAGAACTGTTTCTAGGTTAATGCAATTATGTGCATTTTTTAAATAGTGTTTGTTTAATTTATATATAAAATTATTTATAAATATGCATTTTTATATCTATATATATATATATTACATATGTGAATATGCTTATTATAATCATTAATATTATAAGTTTCCCTTAAGCTACACGTCTCTTTTAGATAGAAGCAAATGTTATACTTTCAAATATAAAATTTTAAGTCCTCATTTTTTTTAAATTTTACCCTTACATATATAAAACATATTTCAAAAAATAGATAATTATAAAAAAAAAAAAAGTGTTCATTTATATCTATATTTGTAAGTCAAAACATAAGAGAAGACTTCAATTTTTTTTTAATTCCTTAAGTCAAATAGAATAATAAAAAAAAAAAAAAAGAAAAAAAAAGGTAATTACAAGTAGTTTTTTCTTAAAATTAAAATATATTTTTTATTTTATAAAAAAAAAAAAAAATACAAAATTAAATATAAATATACAAGGGAAGAAATTTAATAAAAAATAATTCTCCTATTTGTTCTCAATAGAAAAATTAAATCTTTTTAATTTGAATTTAATATATTATTTTTAATTATTATATCCTTCATATAAAGTATGTGTATTTTTCACATAATGACACTCCTTGTATATTTTTTTTTAAGTATAATTAAGGTAATTTATGTAATTAATGATATTTCAAAAAATATTTTTTTTAAATTCAAATGATCTCATAACCACTAAATAAAAGTATACATTAAAAAAAAACTTTTCATAAATTTATAAATATATTAAGAATTTAAGCTTGTACATATAAATTTTTTTTTTTTTTTTAATCTAGTTATAAATGAAAATAAAATATTTTAGGTAATAAATACATAAAAGAAAAAATAGGGTTTATCAAAGTATCAGTATACATAAGAATTTGTAAAACACATCTTTTATAGTTCTTATGTATAGCATATTTTCATTCTAATGAAATTTTAGGTTTTATATAAAAATATATATACTTAATTATCTTCTTTAAATATTAGCTCATTCTTAAATGAAATTTAAATATATAAGTATCCTATACAGAAAAGAGAAATTGTCTAATATCTAAATTATAAACCAAAATAAATACAATTTTTTCTTTTTTTCATTATAAATTATACTAGTAATTATATTTTAAATTTTACTGTTTCTATATTTTTATTAGTTTAAAAGTGAAAAATTCTAATTTTTAATCTATAAGAAATTATAATTTTTTTATTTTTTTAATATAAAATCGGATTCTTTTAAGAGATTTATTGTATTATTGTATAGATATAAAAATAAAATCAATGAGAAATTTATTTGATAGATATATTTTATATTTATTGAAAACTATATCTGTATTATTTTATCGTGAGTTTTTAAAATAAAGTGATATATATTTTTCCATTTTTTTTTTTAAAAAATTATTTTATTTTTCTACATATTTATCTTAAGTAAAATATTTTCTTTTTTGTTTTCAGAATTATCAGTTTTGTTCCTTAAGTATCCTATTTTTTGTGCCTTCATTTTTATAAAATGGCTTACTAATATTTATAAGAACGACACAAAAATATATTTATGGTTTTATTGCACTATAATGCATGTTAATAATTAAAAAAAAAAAAAAGCATAAATAAGTAAATATTAAAAAAAGTAGAATAAAAAAATATTTTATTAAATACATAAACAGAAATGTATGTATGTAGGGGAAAATTAGTTATAAATTACATACAAGAAATGTAAATTTTCTCAAAATTTTTTTTTAATTTTATTTTATAAAAAAAAAAAAAAAAAATTATATATTCTTTAAGTACAATCAAAAATAAAAAAAAAATTTTAGGTAAAAAAGAGGAACTAAAATAAAATAACGTTTTTTAAAAAATAAAATACTCATATTGTGATTATACAATAAAATATATATTTATTAGAAACTAAAAGTTAAGAAAATAGCCCTATGAAATGTGCAACATCACATATATTATTATTCTTTCAAAAATTAAAAGGTATACAGACATGTTTTACACACATGTTTTTCTTATAAAAAAAAAAAAAAATTTCCAATTTAGTTTTTATTCTTAAATTAAATTTAATTGTCTATTTAAAAAATACTAATATATGTATATAATAATTTCATTTTAATTCTTAAAAAATAAAAGAAGCGAAAAAATTATATCCAATATCTATTAAAAACTTTGCTGATCTTTTCGCACACGCGATTTTTGTGCATGAATCTACAATTTTCCTAATTGTTTTTTCGTTTTGGATAATTTTTTTTTTCTTTTTTTTTTTTTCCCCCAATATATAAAAGCAACGATATATTTTTTACACATATACATATGTGTATATTTTTTATAAATATATATATTAATAATGAAAAAAAAAAAAAATACACCATTGTAAAGAATTATAATTAATATAAATATTATCGTGTTTAATTAAAGTTAAATAATGTTTAAATTAGTTTAAACATTAATTTCGACACTTTTTTGTAATTTTTATCTTTTTGTTCATTTATTTTTATGTATTTTTACTTTTTTGTTTGTTTGTTTGTTTGTTTATTTGTTTGTTTTAATAGATTTTAATAATTCATCATATATTATGAGTTTTAAATTCTTCAGTGATATTCTAAAATTATTTTTAATTTTGTAAATTATTATATTTTGCTCATTTACCAAAATAAAACTTGTAATTTTATTCTCAATTTTAATTCATAATTTTTATTCATAATTTTGTTTCTCAACCATTATTTATAATATTTAACCTGAATGGTCATTTATAATTTTTACCATTAATTTGTATACCTAATACTTTTATTATCTTTTTTTTTTTTTTTTTTATTATTAATTAGAAAAATAGTTAATAATGTTAAATAAATGCTATCAACCATCTAAGTGCAGAAGTTATGGTTACTGTTGTTGCGAACAAAAAGATGAAAACATTATGAAAAATGAATTGAATGAACATTTTTATTCATTGGATGAAAAAAAGTTTTCTCAAGGTATTAGTCAGGAAAATGTGGAAAATTACTTAGAAAATCCTCCAAAAAATGCAAGAATTTTGAAACCATTGATTCAAGAAAAAATTGTAGAAATCATGAAACCGGAAATTGAAGAAAAAATTATAGAAGTTCCTCAAGTACAGTATGTAGAAAAAGTAGTAGAAGTACCTCATGTTATTCTACAAGAAAAACTTATACATATACCTAAGCCAGTAATTCATGAAAGAATAAAAAAGTGCCCTAAAACAATTTTTCAAGAAAAAATTGTAGAAGTTCCTCAAATTAAAGTTGTTGATAAAATTGTAGAAGTACCTCAGTATGTATATCAAGAAAAAATTATAGAAGTACCAAAAGTAATGGTTCAAGAAAGAATTATACCAGTACCTAAAAAAATTATCAAAGAAAAAATTGTAGAAATACCTCAAATTGAATTGAAAAATATAAACATTGAAAAAATTCAAGAAATACCAGAATATATTCCAGAAGTAGTAAAAAAGGATGTTCCTTACACACAAATTGTAGATAGACCATTTCATGTTGAGAAAGTTGTTGAAGTGCCACACGTCCAACATATTTATAGGAATATTGTATCCCCTCAATATCGACATATACCAAAACCAGTAGAAGTTCCAATGGCTCATTACAGAACCTTCCCTGTTGAAAAATTAGTTGATAGAAATGTTCCTGTACCCGTAGAATTGCAAATTGTTCAGGAATTTCTATGCCCCAAAATTGAGGCAAGGTATAAAGAAATACCTGTACCTGTGCATGTGCAGCGTATTATTGAACATCCTATACCTAAAGATGCTATGAATAATCCTCATTTGTTACCTTTATATTATCAAGAAGATAATATTGATATACCAAGAAATAAATCAAATCAAAATAACTGTTTTGTATTTAATTGTAATAAAAATAATACAAGAACATCAAAAATGAACCCCTCCGTAGAATTATTATTACATAATGATAGAAGTACAGATCAATTATATTCTCAGGATCCAAATATGAAATGCAATTTTTCTTCGAATAATATGTACATGAATCAAAATTTGAATGATATGAATAGATATACATATAATAATGGAGATATCAATAAGTCTATGCCCGCTAATATTAATTTAAATTATCCTAATGGAAACCAAAATTTACAAAATATGAACTACTATTCTTCTAGAATGAGTAATAATCCATATGATAATAATAACATTTTTAAAAACAATAATTCTATAAACTACAGCAATAACACCGGTCTTAATAATACCTATAATACTATTTCTCCTACTATTCCTCCAATTAATAACGAACATAATTAATATTTAAAATATACTTGATTAATGTAAAATATATACAACATTAAAAAAAAAAAAAAAAAAAAAAAAAAAAAAAAAAAAATTAATATAAAATAAAATTAAAGTAAATAAATACAAAATATTCTGTAAAATAATATAATATCATTTAAAGCTAGGTAACAAAAATAGCATAAAATCATAAAAAACGACATAAAATATAATAACATAAAACAGTATAATAAGGAGTTTAAATATATTGTAATAGTATGAAATAAATGAATATATTTTTATTAAGAATGAAAAATATATTTATCAGTTATACTCAAAGTATNTTTTTTACTTTTTTTTTTTTTTTTTTTTTTTTTTTTTTTTTTTTTAAAAAATTTTTTTTTTAAA